CAGAGGTTTGTTTTGTGGGGCTAGATGGAGTCGGTCCGTTTCCTTTCTGCTTATCAGGTGCCAGCAGGTACTGGCTTAGTACTTTTGGGTTGTTTAGGGTCGTGGTTCTTGCTGACCGGCATCCTGTTTTGGGTTTCTGGTTAGCTGGGTTCTGGTTTTAGGGTTCATGGGCCCAAGTAGCTGGCATTTTGCAGCTGGTGCGCTGTGCCACTGGCTTCCAATGTGTGTGTTGTGGTTTATGAGTACTTGGCCTGGTTCTTGGTCTGGGTTCTTCATTCCTCTGCTTTTGAGTCTACCTTCTGGCTTACCATCTTGGAGCCATCCGTCCAGTCAGCAGCGACGGTGTTTGGACTGTTGGTCTCGGGCCAGAAGACCTGGCGTGATGGATGGCTAGATGGTTCAGGTGGATGTGTTTTGTCTATAAAAGTCAACAAAAGGTTTTCACTAGTTGACGCGGAGTCAGTCAAGACACTGTGACCCACAACTTAAAAGTAACACAGATTAAAATGTATGAATGTTATAAACAGATTTTGAGATGGATGAAATTAGTTTTTCCAGCTGCACACTGCAATTACGTCCCCTGACTTGTGCCTTGTGCTTCTTGGGATGGTGAGACTGTACTGCGGAAACAGATATGAGAAACCTGATGGATGCTCCGAGATGCACCGATCCGATATTCAGATCTATATCTGCACTGATCCACATCTATTAGACAGATCTGATATCGGCCATATGTGAGTGATCCATGTCCAATACTTATTTAGTTTTTGGCAGTCTGTAAAAAGACTGGATCAATCACACATCAGTTCCTTCCCATTTTAGATGTGATTTTTTGAGCATTCAGGCTGAACACTGCCACTCAGTTTTTTGCCACTCAGCGGGTGTGAGCGCAGTTACTTCCACCTGCTATGATGTCATACGCATACCCTTCGCAGTAGGAGGAGAGTAAGAACAGCAGATAAGGTGACGATCCTAAATAACTTTACGCTTGAAACAGCCAGTAGCACAGTGATTTGCAACCTTTTGTAAATCCTTTGAGGTGGAATTTACTAGAAAAGGGCGCTAAAAGTGCACACCATTGTGTGAGACGGCGCAAATAATATGAAAAAAGCAGTGGAGTCGCTGGCTTTGGCTGTTTTGTGATACAGGAGGGGCTGCTAACGCAACGAAGTGCAAGTAACGCTGTTTCCAGTGGGAGAAAAATTGTGGGGCATTTTACGCATTTGCCACTTGCGTATCCTCACTTGGAAGAGATTCCAGTTGAACTGTAAATGCCTCAAAAATGAATAAAACAAGATGTGCAAATGAGGTGGAACAGCACGTTATGTATGCTTCTTGTAGCCTAATTCACTTTTTATCGTTTATATATATTTTAAACTAGTAAATACAAAGTATAAATATTTATATATACATTTACTGTATTCAAATATTAAAGTAAAAAGAGCTCTTGTACCGGAATATCTATTAGTATTGGCATTTGTGTATTGGAATCAGATTGGAACTGAAAAAATGTGGATCAACCCATCCTTAATTTTCAGATAGATTAGAACATGACGCCCTGAGTTTTTCCCCTGTAATACGGCATCCTTTGAATGATCAGTGTAAGAATCGGAGGCGTTTAGCCCCCTGGCTGAGTGGGTCCCAGGACGACAACTTCTCCTTAAGTGTCAGTAAATATCTAGTCCTTTGGAAATAAGAAGGCAGGCAATGCCGTCATTTACAGAGAAGCCGTGAAGAGGCTTCGCAGATGTAAGTTACTGAGAGCCACCAACACAGACCGCATTATATTAACACGGCAGCAATCTAGAAGGCACGACAATGGCTTTATTTCTCAGCCGACTGGTCAGCTGAGGACTGCAGAGGGCAGTGAGAACTGCTCAGGCCATCGCTAGGACACATCTGCCCTCATTTAAGGAATTTTTTACGACACGCTGTAGCACAGACAGGCTATTGTTAAAGGCTCTATTCACCAAGTCAAATTTCTCCCTCCACCTTTCCGGCACAGATGCATCAACTCTCAAACCGTAAGGTGCCAGAATGTTTGTCTGTCAGCCGTTAACCTATGCAACAGATACTGATTATATGAAGTACAAGGAAAACTTAAATGAATTGCTGGTTATTTGCACGCTGTGTTTATCATCACTGTTCTTACTGGATGACTCTATGGGTTAAGACGCTTTGTGATTGGAAGGTTGCTGGTTCAAATTCCCTACCTGCAGAGTGATTTCACAGTTGTTTTGGACCAACATATCTGCTAAATACATAAAACGTTTGTTTGGTGTTAATGTCTGCAGTACTTTTCATGCTGTACATTGTCTAATTTTTATAGAACTTTCGTTTCATTTTTCATGTAATTTCATAGATGCTGCCATTTAATGTTTTATCTTTTAACCCCGTGGGACGCATGTGAACCTGAAAGCTTGAAGGAAACTGTATTGTTATACAAATGTATTAAAATGACTGACTAACGCTTACACCCTCGGAAAGTATAACCAATCCTGTTCATGTAACACCGACAAACGAAAGTATAAAAGTAAGAGTGTTCAAGACTTCAAGACTTTTTATTGTCATTGTACAGTTGCCTGGACAACGAAATTAGCTGGCAAGACCACAAAGATGCAAGAAAGTGTCAGTACAAGATATAAGAACAATATAAAAACACAGTATAGACACATTTATCTATTCCTTAATGCACTTTTATCTTACTTCATTCAGCTTTTCATAGCTTACGGAAATGGGTTTTCTCTGACAAATATATGCAGTTGTTGGTCATCAAGCTTATTGTAATGTAGTACAGAGGAAATGTGATGCTCGAACAATGTAACCCCTCAGAAATTTTATGCTTTCCAGTCACATTTAAAAAGTGATGTTTATATCCAAACTTCGTATGAGGTTGACATGAAGTTCAGTTACAATAAATTGAGTCGACGCATTTCCGTAGTTGCAGGTGGCTAGTTGTACAGGAATCAGCATTTTTCTCTGGCCAAACAGGACAGATACAGTAGATGCACCCTTTTTTCACACGTTAGCCATTTTCAGGGAAGGAGAACTGAGGGATGCTTCAAAGTCTTTAGGAAATTGGTTGGCCAGCGCAAAATCTGCTATGGAGACATAATTATGGTTCTTTGTGTTCCCACCGGCCAAACTGTCAACAAAAAAAAAATCTAAAAATACCCAATCCTTAGGTATTCCATGCTGTGTATTCAGAATAGCAGTTTTTACAATTAAATATGAACATAATGAACATTTAAATACTGTATACGTTCCCGGGCAAAAAAACATAGGCCTAAGCTTAATGTCGTGCATTTTAGGTCTGGCCCATTGTTTTTGCCCGGAGATTATATATTCAAATGTGAGCTGAAAGCCGAGTTCTTCCTTGTTCAACAGGAAGGGCCTTTTAAACAGGGTGATTTGTGGTTTGATGCAAAGTTTAGCTGCTGCAATGTTTAGGTGTGGCTCTGTCAAGCAAGCTTTGTGTCAACATTGCTGTTCACATAGGTTAAAAAGAACACGTAGGACACACACACGCAAAACTCCTTGCCGGAGTTGTCGTCATTGCCATTTAGAGAATGCTACGTCGATGCTAATTGCTAATGATCGCGTACTGTCCGTGTGCTGTTTATTACCGATAGCTTTCGCTTTCTCGTATTCAAATAGTGTGTTTGGCTTTGAGCATCAGGAGTCTGCACTTGTGTCCAGAGGTTTGTCGGTTTGAATCATACATTTCTGGCTGCTAAGCAAGGCCCTTAATTCCAGGTGAGGCTTCAGGAACATCAGAAGAACGGCTGACTCTGTGCACTTACCTGTATGTGTGTGACTCATAGCAGATTAAGATGGGATATGTACGAATCCGTCTGTAGCTGTACTTTTATGCTTCTGCAAACGGCCAGTCAAGTATCAGTTTAAAAAAAATAAATAAAAAAAGTGGGTAAATGCATTCAGACTTGAATGTGAATGAGAGCCGAAGGTGTGGCTCTGCTCACAGCTGCCTGAGTGATGTTTGGAATTGAGGGAGCAAGTTCTGATCTGCAGCTCCGTGGACACCAACATTCCCCGAGTTGCGTTCCAGGTGCCTCATAAAAGCGACTTGTCTTTCATAGCTGAATGCTTACTTATCCTGTCAGTTCTACACGTACCCTGTTTTATTTTTTGCTACATTTCTGTGAGACTGTATGGCCATGGCGTTGACCTCAGTTCTAGGCCCTGACCTGTATAAACGCGTAGATGACGGATAGACCTAGGTTTGAAATTTTGCCAGGACCTGGCAACCCTGAAGAGTAAACAGCTTAATAAGTTGGTCACTTGTTTATTCTGGGAGGTAGCTTGCCTGCAGCCACTGAACTAGTGCAGCCAGGGAATGGTGAACCTTCCTCGGGCATGAGTTCCTGCTCATCCTACTTACAAACATCCTGAGATGCCTTTAACCACGAAGAAGTTCTGGGGTTGTTCACACAAGTAGGATCAGTTGGTATCAAAGTAGTTTCAGCCGCCCTGGTGTTTACTCTTTATGTTTGATGAAAGGAGTGGCTTTTCAGACTTAAAAGGCACAAACATGGCATGCAGACATATGTAGTCTCCCAAATTTCTACACAGGTGATATTGGGTAATGTGTGCTGAGCATAACTCAATGATTGTGTAACTTTCTAGCAGTATGTTCTAATTGTGAAATATTCCACTTTCCATATTAACCACCCACTTCTTCATGGTATAGTCTCATATTTTAAACTGGTGTTGGTTCCTGTTTTTACCTATGATGTAATTGGAATTTTAAATTTATACAATTTGGAAAAAATGTACTTTTTTAATATTTTTTTTTTCTTCATTTTAATTAAAGTCTGTTCTAACTTGAAATGTCTTAGATCTAGGTTTCCTGTTATCTGGTCCTGTCATACTCGTGATGCTCAATAGTTTGGAGGCAAACGGCAAATCTAGTTAATTTTACGGTTCCTCTCGCACAGCATTGACATAAATCGCATGTTTTGTTCATAACTGTATTGTAGGTCGATTGGCTCAGCCAAAATCGCACTGAAAGATCTGGCAACTGGTCAAGCCAAGTCTCTCCCATCAAGAAATGTGGTACTTGTCAATGAAAAAAATCAGGATATTGGGGTAAGCACAACTTATGATTTCTCCATACTGATGTACAACTCCTACACTCAGGCTTTTTGATGAGAGGAAAAAGCTATAATCTACTGCCTGGGAGAAATCTAGTTTAACTGGCCCTGCAGTGGAAATTGTTAAATTGTCTGCACCACCTTTTGGATAGGAGTGGCAGTGACACTGTTAATAGTACTTAAAACTATTTATTTACATATAGGCACATTGTAATAAAAAGAAATAGCATGCATTTTATAATAATTCTGTAACATACTGGAAATAAAGATAAATGTAGGAAGTACCATTTTAGGTATATGGTTGATTGAGCACGTTTTTATTCTTCAGGGTACCATCAATTTAGTAATCGGGTACGAGCCACCAGCTAACGCCCCCCCTAATCCGAATGAGATGCAAGTCGGTGGCGATGTCGCTGCAGGTGGTAGGTGAAACAGTCAATGGCTTTGGAGGTGCATGGATACCCTGGCAAGTTCAGGGGGCCACTTCAGGGACACTTGAATATGGGAAATTACACCCAGAATTTGGTGGAGGGGCCCATGGTGACATGTTCCTAAATTGGGTACCTTAATCTCTTTGATTTCTTGATTTTTGAATTCCCTGGTTTCCCGTGATTTTGATTTCTCAAAGGACGGTTGTCGAGATTTAAAGCATCAGTTAATGTAATTTAATTGTATCTCTTAAGCAATTTCCAAATGATCTTCATTTGTAACAATTCATGTAGACTTTATATGCAGCATGTTTTGTTTTCCTGCATTTTTTTTATACATATCAGCGTGTGTTACTCTAAAACCTGCTCGCCCACTTCTTACATCACTGAATTCAATGCCTAAATTGGTTTGGCTTTGTAATCTGATTGAATGGTTTAGTGGTGGCAACTATTCAATAATAAAACATGAATTTTTGAATGAACACTTTTAACTTGCTGAATAGTGTCACCCTCATCAGGTCTGCAGCTAATGAAAATTAACACAGAACCATAAATCAGTCTTGCGTTAACCTAGTTATCCCTTTCATTGACGTGTTTACTTCAGCCTGTTGTTGCAGGACGTTTAACTATCCTAATGACACCAGGACATGTGAACACACCTCATTTGTTTCGGAAATCCTCCACACCTCCAATTTTTAAATGTTAAGAGCTACCTTTAGAAGCCTAAGCTTCATGTCAATGGAACTTCACCATATGGATTACAGCAGTGTCATGATATATAATGGGAAATGGAAAACAAGTTCACAGGAATCTTCTTTGTCTGAAAGAACTGTTTTCATGCTTAGTCATTTAATATGGAGGGAGATGAAGTGGATGAGATTTTAGGCCGGTCCCATGACTGGCAAAGAGCATTTTATTACCGTTGCAACTTTCTGTGGTTTTTAGCTTTGACTGCACTTTGGAAATGGTGCCCGACGTCCTTTGGATTCTTTCCTTCAGGTGGAGATGGAGGCGATGGGGGAGATGAGAGCAATACAGATGGGGTACAGGTGACGTCTCCCGGGGGAGACCCCTCTCCTGGCCAGCCTGGGATATCACCCCAGAAGATCATGACTAGGGCCAGGAATAGACATCGACCTTTGTCCAACAAACCTCAGGACTTTCAGGTATATCATCCAGATTTTCCAATACCAGAATATAAAATGTTTACACTATGCAGTCCATTCATGTATATTAGTAAGGAACTAACTCTCTGTCTCGGAATCCCTTAGATTCGTGCCCGAATTATTGAGTGTCGTCAATTGCCTGGAAACAACGTAAAACCAGTTGTTAAGGTGTATGTCTGTGGACAGACACACAGAACAAGAATCAAAAAAGGAAATAATCCTTTTTATGATGAGGTAAAGAACATTTTATCTTTGCATTACAGATTATGAATACTTCTAAATGTTTCTATTCTTGAGATCTACGTTTTGAATAAATGACTCACTTGGAAACTTCAATTTGCATTCACTGAACTCTGAGCCAATGACATTGAAATCAAGCTTTTACAGTTTTTTTTTTTTTTGTTTGTTTTTTTTTTTTTGACAGATTTTCTTTTACAATGTCAACATGCTTCCCTCAGAACTGTTTGATGAGCATATCAGCATTCGGGTAAATCAACTTCTTCATATTTTTCTTAATCCAAGCACTGGTGCATAGGGAGAGTTTAATATCTGTGAAAGTGACGGGGTAAGAAATACATAATGGCAATGGATAAACCAAGTAATGCAGCAGGTCCAGCTGCACTTTTCTGGCATAGTCAAGCTTGATTGATATACATAGAATACCCCATAGATGTACAATAATGAGATTTCGGTTCATGTCCACTATTGTCAATATTTTATACTCTAATCTTTACTTTCCTTTCCTATACAGGTGTATGACTCTTCCTCATTGAGGGCTGACAGTCTCATTGGTGAATTTAAGGTAATTGATTCATTGATTCATTCTGCCATTGGCTGTGAAGATGATCACATCAAGAATGGGTCAGATAAGTAATGGGTGATATCTCGGTAAATTGTGTATCTCTTATCTTGCCTTCTTTTTGTTTCTTTATGAAATTAATTTGCATTCTCTGCAGATTGATGTCGGCTACATCTACGACGAACCAGGTGGGTCTTTGCTGCCCTCGTGCCACGCCGTTGCTCTAAGCGTGCCCTCGCTGGCTCGGGAAAACGCCATCTCTGTATTTCCATCCTTTTCAGCTCATGCCATCATGAGGAAGTGGCTGCTCCTGAACGACCCGGATGATGCCAGCCAGAGTGCCAGGGGGTACCTCAAAGTCAGCATGTTCATCGTGGGAACGGGAGATGAGCCACCGGTGAGGCTGCCGCAGTCTTGGGTCTGCTTTTGGTTTGTTTTTTGATTCATGCTGCAGTGGGTGGTGGTGTAGTTTTTCTTTGGCTTTGACAACACATGTTTTATCAAGCTGATTGAATGTAACTTAAATTAATCCAGGTTTTAGCTCAGGATTCTGTGACTGTAGATCTCAAGTCACATTGGGTATTATGTATTATGTAACGTTTTGCTAGGTGATTCCTGATCCAGGGGTGAAATCCCAAATTTGAATGGCATGCTGTTCCTAAGTGTGTGTGTTTGATTGTATGCAGCAGTTGCCCCTGATTGCTGCTTTCATTTTCTTTGTTGTTTATTTGCTATACCAATCATCACGTTACCTGTCAAAGGCATAGAAATTGTCTAGAACTGGGTCGCACAACCGCTGGTCTGTGGCCAAGGAGCAGGCTCTGCTGAAGCGTGGGAGGGTAACCTGGTCTTTCTCATAATGGGTCGTCACATGGACACAAACATGGGGAAAATTCCTGGATGAGATTTACAAAGGGGGACCTCATCCCCCCCCCCCCCCCCCAGCACCATGAAGAAATGACTAGCCGAGCTTTTTGGTTTAAAAGGTTAAGAAACTTTGGTCTAGAATGCATGGATGGAACCTTACCTGGTTTACAATTCAAGAAACATTTACTTTAATGAGAGTGGGTGGAGAATGGAGTGAAGTTGTAGTACCTGCTTTGACATGTTTTTGGGGATTTGTCACCTGTGAAATATCAATTTATTTATTTTTTAATAGGTAGAGAACAGAGAGAAAACTGAAGACCAGGATGACATTGAGAGTAACCTCCTTTTGCCTGCCGGAGTAACGCTGCGTTGGATCACGTTGACCCTGAAAGTCTTTCGAGCTGAGGACATTCCCCAGAGTATGAATCACTTGTGCTAAATTGACAATAATGCCCATTTTCCACCAGCAAGGTGCTGGAGCTGGAGTTGGTGCCGGATTTTTTCCTTCTTAAGAGGACAGTGGTAAAATAAACTCAGTCACACACACTCAGGCAGGGGAGTCTTTAAGGAGACGAGAGAGAGAGGGTGCAAAGAGTCATAGTCAAAACTTTTTTTTTTTGGTTCGTCAACTTAAAAAAACTCATTCTGAAACGTAATGCATATGAACCTTTTACTGTTCTCTCACTTCCGTCTACGTAACATTTTTGTTTGGTTCTTTTGTGAAACCGGTAAAAATGTGGCCCAGTTCTCAGAAGGCACCAAGCCAGAACCAGCCCAGAACCAGCCCAGCACTGGCTCCTTATTGGTGGAAACGAGGCATAACAGTCTTTCTGCCTTTAATTTTCCCAGAACGTTGCTTCCTTTAAGCTAACTGGCAATGAGTTGTTTTCATCATACTATGATACTTGTTTGTCATTATGGCAGGTTCTTAGGTTAACATGTAGCAACTGTCAGGAAAGCCTGAAATATATGGTTGGTTTCTCCTCTTGTAGTGGATGATGCTTTTACACAGACTGTCAAGGAAGTTTTTGGAGGACACGGTGACAGGAAAAATCTTGTGGATCCTTTTGTGGAGGTCAACTTTGCAGGAAAAAAGGTAATTAGTCATCTGGCAATATATAAATACTGTATGTAAGGATAATTTTTAATATTGTGCCCTTTAATCCGTTATTATTTAAACCGTCTGGGTAAATGTGGTGTTTTATAGCTCCGTACAAAAGTAATTGAGAAGAATGCAAACCCAGAATGGAACCAGTTACTAAATCTTCAGGTCAAGGTAAGGGGAAAAATCTGTCTCTCGTTTCCTTATTACTCAACCAGTGGCAGATTATTTGAAATGTTATAACTATCGAAAATGGCCATTTCTTTCGTGAGCAATAATTAAATTAGTTGATTTATCATTTCCGCAGTTCCCATCCGTGTGTGAACGCATGAAGCTGGTTGTGTTTGATTGGTAAGTCAGAAGTAATTTGTTGTTACCTTATTGAGATTTGAAGATACTAGCTGGGAATTTTAGGCTTGATGTATATTTCTTTGTTCATGGAACTTTACCCATTTCATCGCGCTACCTTATATTTGTGTTTGTTGTAATACTGCTGCCCTCTGCTGGTCTGGGGGAATATCATTGCTTAGCGCATGCGCCAATTACACAAGAGCACAATCATGTGCGGACTGCAATGGCACGCAGAAAAGTGAAACGCAAACCATGCTTCACACACCAATGTTAATGTCGCTTTGTGGTGACAGTGACATTGATGTCATCATACACAAATGCACACAAAAATGCAACCTTTCGATGACAAAATTCATTGTCGACTATTTTTATTACTGATTATTATCGACATTATCAGTTACTTGTTGCAGCCCTAATCAGATGTGTGTTTTAACGATAAAATTTCAGACGGCAGAGTTTTGCAATGTACCTTTTGTTTTCTTCTATGTATCTGGGGATTTTTTTTTTCTCACATCAGAAAAAAATGTTTTGTCAAAGTGGAAATAGTGATTTGGTTAAATAACTTGTTTTGCTGTTAGAAAATTAAGTTTTTCAAAACTACAAACTGTCACTTCAGTGCCTAATCTCATAAATTACTGTGTTGTCAGCCATCAAATTTTTGTATTTTGGTTTACTGTTACATTTGCATAATATGGAATGAAAGCATCACATGGGGAGCAGGAATTAACACATCCTCTTTGTAAACTTCAGGAACATGGTTGTATTATAGTATTAACAGGAACCTGTAACTCAGTAACAAAGTTAGTAATTTGAAACTAATAGTTATGGTCTAAGGAGGAACATAGAACTTTCAGAATGTGTTAATACTGCTTCACCTATATAACATGTTTATGTGCAGAATGGTAAAGTGGTTGATCAGCCAGTTGTTTTAAATACTAAACACATGCCATCCCAGCCTTGATTTATTTGTTAGTTGTTAATGCTTTCCTGGCTTTTCTTGAGCTGGGGGCATTCTGGGGATTGTGTGAAGGGAGGGGCGGCCGAATTGTGGTCAGCGTCTGTCTGCCTGGGACATTCCTGGCTGGGTGAGTCAGCGAGGAGTCCTGCAGGGTCACTCCCACTCCCTTAAAGGGACCTTCCTGGCCGACCGCAGCTGGAGTCCTTTTTTAAGGGAATTCGGGAAGTGCGAAAAGGTTAAAGGTTATATCAATTTGGCACACATACCCTGCAAACGTGTTGAAACAAGGCTGACCCAGTCTGTTTCTTGGTGCTTTTTTTTTTTTTGCTCAGGGATCGACTGACGAAGAATGATGTGGTAGGAACCACTTACCTAGACCTTAGCAAAATAGCGTCCTCTGGTGGTGAAATTGAAGGTTAGTTTCCTTCTCTGCTTCCATATTTGGTTAAATCCTCTTCTAGTGTAAAGCTGTGTTTTTTTTTTTTTTTTACTCTTAAGTGTTTATATATTCAGGACCTTGAAGTGAATGTTTCGGCTGCTGTCTAGAGCAGTAGCTTAGGGAACTGGGGTGATGGATCACAGCTTGAATGTTTTTTTTGGTTACTGTATATTCTCTGTAGCAAAACTTTCTTTGTTAAATGATTATAGTTCATAATCAATCGAGCAGTTAAGTGTAAGTGACGTGCATTTGAGTGAATCGATGGTTGCTCCTCACTGCCTTACATACTTATTTCTTTCTCTTTGAATAGACATAAAGTCGGGAAGCGAGGCCTCTCCAGCATTGGAAGGTTCAATAATTTGTTGATGTGATCGCTTCCTGTCGCACCCGGTGCTGTGCTTTAGGTCTTTGCTGGCAGCCAGATCTGCTGTCGCTTTTACCGAGTCGAGTAAAGCTAATGACATGTCTGAGCGTCCCCATGACTGCCCGGGTGCCTCCAGCCATCTGTCCTCATTAGCAGACTCTGATAAAACTTGAGATGACTTTAGCTCTTGATAAATGACGTTTCATGGTCTGCATGAGGCTCTAATGCACTTAGCTCATTTGCATAACCCTTTGAGACCCAAATAGCATTGTACCTTCAAAAAATTTGGAAAAGTAGTAGACGAGAACTTTTAATATTGCACATTAATATAGTCTACATGGAAATGGGAGGTAAAAGCACAGTGGTTAGTGCTGCTTCCTCACACCTCTGGGATTGGGGTTTGAGTCTCCTCAATGGCTCTTAGTGGAGTTTGCATGTTCTCCTCGTGTCCTCGTGGGGGTTTCCTCTGGATACTCCGGTTTCCCCCCACAGTCCAAAAACATGTTGAGGTTAATTGGAGTTGCCAAATTGTCTGTAGGAATGAATGGGGTGTTAAAGGAGATGGGTTGGCGCCCCATCCTAGGTTGTTCCCTGCCATGCACCCGTAGCCTCCAGATTATGCTCTGGATCCCCGCAATCCTAAATAGGACAAGCAGGTGCAGAAAAAGGTCTGGATGACTGGGGCTCAAAAGGTTGACAAACTGTTGGCCTGCATAACACTTACTAATACCAAACCTTTTTTCCGTAGCTTGACTGTAGCTGCACGAAAGGCTTAAGTACCAGACATGCCACTTCTCCTGGAACTTCATGGAGTCCCCCACAAATTTACAGCTGCCCCCTGACACCCATGAAATCCTGCATTCCGCTATTCAGCATGACCCCACCCCACCCCACTGGAAAATTTTACCACAACTCTCTAGCTCTAGATGTTGAATTTTATTGCCAGGATGCCCCAACCCCTGCCACTTCATCCAGCACTGGACTTAAAAAATTTGATCTAATTTGAAATACGTCACTATCCTGTGTAATACGGTATTCTAAAAAAATACACTATTCCGGTATTTCCCTGATGAAATTTACTAAGCCATGTGGTGGAGTATTTCTGATCGAGAATAACACAGCATGTGGTATTACCGTAATATCCATCAACCCAAGTCAGCAATCCCCCCCACACCCCCCATGTTGTCCCTGATCGTGACACCATGTTCGTGCTGTGACACGTTCTGTTAACGCCCTTTATGTGACTTGATCAAATGTTTTCTATCTGATGATAATTTTCTCTCAATGAAAGGAAATTTTAACTTGCAGAGGACAATATTTGTCACAAGTTTCTTACTTGAGGGCAGGGATACCCAATTATTTTACTCTTGGGGCCAAATTCCATCAACAACACTAACTCAAAGGCCAGTGTCCTCTTTAAAGCACAGCCTTTTTCTGTACTGTCAACCAAAAGTTGCCAAGCTTAAAATTTGCCAAGCACAGGGTGGGGGTGGGTGTTGATCAGGCCTAACATGTGACTCTTGCTGGGTTTGGTCCACCGGCTACCAGTTGGGGAAACCCTGCTTTATGTTGTGTGGACATTGGCATGTGCTCAGCTAACCTGCTACCAGCTGTCAGAAGCAAAGCATGTGTGCTGATCACTAACCTCCTCTTGGTAGTAGATTCTAGCTCTCAGTCTTGTAGATCTTGACTAATCCTTTGAAACCTACACCTGATTTTCTTGGTCAAGTGAAGGAAAATCAGGTTGGAATTCCCTGTTGAAGGCACTAACATTTAACGACAGTTTTAACCAATTTCCAGTGGTAGTATCTGTGACTTGCAACTACTTTAGTTATACTTATGGTGCATCATTAAATGACCCCTTTCTCTACATGCACTGTAATAGTAGCTCACCTTTCAGGGAAAACTGGAGAGTCAGAAGTAGGATTTCTGCCAGCCTTTGGGCCTTGTTACATCAACCTCTACGGCAGCCCCAGGGAATTCACTGGGTTTCCAGATCCGTATGACGACCTCAATTATGGGAAGGTATATCGGGAAAACGTGTTTTTCTGTTTGTGTGTGTGTATCTGTCCATATATTCTATTGATATACAGTTGCAGGTCTATCTGCAATACGTAAGCATTTTTAAATAGTTTTTTAAAGTGTACTAATGGCTTAAGCAAATATTATTTAGGAATGAAACTAATGTTTTTCATGTGTGTTGCATTTTAAATGAATATACCAACGTATGACTTGAGTGCCAAATGCTGACAATCTTGATTTAGGCCTGTAGGATCTCTGAGTTGTGAATGTTGTCAACTTGTGAATGTTTCTCAGATGTTTTAAGATGGGTTTGTACCAGTTTAAACTCAGATGAGACACACTTCACTTAGCCGTCCTTAAGCAGACTAAGGGATTTGTGTCTCTTCAGGGTGAGGGGGTAGCCTATAGAGGTCGGATTTTGGTTGAGCTCATAACACAACTGGACGGGAAGATTGACAAGCCTTTGGATGACATCCAGAGCGATGACATATTGGTGGCACAGGTACTTGCATCACGGCCCTCTTTTGTGCACCCTAAACGACAAAACGATCTCGCAAAACACAAAATCTATACGCCAGTGTTTCACTGCAACTGAATTCGTCTTGCATTAAACGACAGCAAACAACTGATGACCTTTCTGCCCCCTGCTGGAATTAGATTTTCTTGTTGTTTCTTGTTCCAATGGACAGAAATACCAGCGACGGAGGAAGTACTGCTTATGCGCAGTGTTTCACAGTGCCACCATGCTCCAGGAACCTGGGGAGCCCATCCAGTTCGAAGTCAGCATCGGTAACTACGGCAACAAGCTGGACTCAACTTGCAAGCCCTTGGCGTCTACCACCCAGTACAGCTGTGCCGTGTTTGACGGTGAGAGTTCCACCTGTCTCCACACAGGGAAATAAATCATCCAGAAGGAAATTCGAGTGTGTTTTACTGATGATGATTAACGTGGCATTTTCCATAGGTAACAACTATTACTATCTGCCCTGGGGTGGCACAAAGCCTGTAGTGGCGATTACATCGTTTTGGGAGGACATAAGTCACCGATTGGATTCGGTGAACATTCTTCTGTACATCTGTGAGAGACTGGTACGGAATCGTTTTTTGACTTGAGGTGCTAAGTGTTCCCACTAAGTAAGAAGTACATGGCAACATTGTTCAAATACTCATGCATTAGTAAAAAACTTTGGTAGGGTTCACCTTCCACAGCTTTTTGGTGACGTATTTCTCAGCACTTTTCGGTTCTTGTCATTTCAGCAATCTAACATCACTTCGCTGAGGACGGCCATTCAAGCGAAAGCGCCAGACACTCGTCTCGCCGAGATCTGGCTCAAACTTGTCAATCAGGTCATTGAGGACCTCACGAGGTACACCACAGTGATCTTGGTGTGTCAGAGTGACCATTGAGTAGGACCATTAACCCTAATCGCTTCTGGTTGATCCTGCACCCTTACCTCTGTCGCTTCGGACAAAAGCATCTGCTAAATAAATAAATGTATGTGTAGGTACCTGTACTGTAGGTGTTTGACTGGACCATTGGTATCACTAGAAATCAGGGCTGAAACGAGACATAGAATTTCTTTAGCGATTCTAGCGATTTCTGTAACGATTTTAAGGTGCTCGCTCTCAGAAAAAAGGGTAAAAATTTGTATTTTTGCTTGTCACTGGGGCTGTACCCTTATGGGTACAGAAAGGTACAGAAATTGAGGAACATCCCAAAGGTATAAACTGCATTAATGTACCATCAATGGGTCAGAAATGTTCCTTAGAGTCCATTTCTGGACCTTAAAAGGTACATTTACCTACAGCTAAGGGTACAATTGGCAGATTCTTGAGGGTACAGGCCCAGTGACAAGCAAAGGTACAGATATTTACCCTTTTTTTCTGAGAATGTAGATGTCAATTCTTATTCCCAGAATAGAAAGCAGTGCCTTCAGAGGCAGAGTCAGTGTTTGTAATAATTCACCAGAAGCTCTTCAGCAGCAGTTCTTTCCTCCACTTGCAGCTTCAAGACGCCCGACCTGGAAGGGATGCCGAACCTGACAGCTCTGGATTTCCAGATCAAGAATCTGCGTGACAAAACAGTCTTGGCTGTTCGGGAGGCGGCCAGGACCATGCTGGAAGAGGCCACGGACGTCAAGGAAGCCCTGTCGGACATCGAAGGCTGGCTGGAGAGGCTGCAGCAGCTGGCTGAGGAGGTCGCAATCGGCAATCGACTGCCGTGCCTTAATCGGGCTTCCCGTGCACGTCACTTGCTGACCTTGGTCTTTGCTCTCCTCTCTAGCCTCAGAACAGCATGCCGGATGTGATCATTTGGATGCTCCGGGGGGAGAAGAGAGTAGCCTATGCGAAAATCCCTGCCCACCTGGTGCTGTATTCCACCTACAGTGAGCAAGCGTGTGGGAAGTACTGCGGCCGCACCCAGACCATCCTGATGCAGGTAGTTGACAGTATCCACATGTCTTAATGCTAATTGAGTCACACAGCTTGGCTTTCCTGCTGCCGCAGTGCATGCTGGGATTTTTTTTTGCCACAGTGCAGATTTCTGTTTCTTTTATGTCATTCTTTTTGAGAGATTAGTTTCAAAGCAGAAAGAGAAATTTTAATCTTAAACCAATTTATTGCTATACGTGAATTACTAATTTAAGTCATTTAATAGTTCATAAATCCTGAACAAGTAATCTTGTGAATAACTGATTAATCCTGCTCGATCTTGATCTTCTCAGTATCCCATGGACAAACACAAGGGATTGAAAGTACCAGTGCAGATCTGCGTCAATATGTGGCTGGGTCTTGGAGCGTATGAAAAGAAGTTCAACAGTTTTGCGGAAGGCACATTCAGTGTCTTCGCCGAACTGGTAATGGCATTTTAATGTACAGCCAACATAAAAAATCGAATCACTCAAAGGCAAGTTTCCACACGTGCTGCTACCGTGTTATTGTGAAGCGGAACTAAATGTTTGTCTCCCACATGTTCTGCTTTAGTACGAAAACCAGGCACAGGTCTTCGGGAAGTGGGGTACCACAGGGCTGGTGGGCCGCCAGAAGTTCTCGGACGTGACCGGCAAGCTTAAGCTGAAACGGGAGTACTTTATGCCCCCTGTTGGCTGGGAGTGGGAAGGCGACTGGATCGTGGATCCAGAGAAGGGGTAAACGTTTCTCGAAATGTATAATTTTTTTTTTATAGATTCTGGTGGGTAGAATTGGGTTTTTTGTAGAGAGAAACTTTCTGGGATGGATCCGGTAATTGGAGGCGGTGGCTTAGGTACCACTCATCAGCCCCCGCCCTGAGCACAATTGAAGGAAATGAAGTGTGTGTTTGGCGTTCTGCCTGATGAGACCAGCTGGCGGCCTGCTTGTTTACATTTATTTTGCCTTTTTAATTAGCCAGCTGCCCGAGTTGCTCCTGGTGCCACGGTGCGTTTAGTCTCCATCCACTGAGAGCGGCAGTGGTCCCAAACAGCCCCCCCCCCCCCCCCCCCCCGCCTTGCCTGTAGTCCCCCATCTCGGGCGTGTGAACTGAGGCGTAGGCCACCAGCTGATGCAGCGCCGTCTCCGCAGGCTGCTGGCGGAGGCTGACGCGGGACACACGGAGTTCACCGACGAGGTCTACCAGAACGAGACGCGCTTCCCCGGAATGGAGTGGAAGGCGGCTGCAGAGCCTTACACAGATGTGGTAAGGAGAGCACTGTACTGGTGTGTTGTGTGTTAAAGGTACAGCTGTCCTCATGGGTTGTGGAGATGTATGAAACGGCAGGACGCGGATTTCTCTGGGAATGACGGAAGGGGAGTTGAGTTGAGGTTTGGTACTGGGGTTTTCCTGCAGAACGGGGAGAAGGCCCCAAGTCCTTCGGAGTTTGAGTGTTCCCCTGGCTGGGAGTGGGAGGATGACTGGACCTATGACATCAACCGGGCTGTGGACGAGAAAGGTGAATGGCACTTGCGCCCTTGCCCCGCCTGTCTCGATGTTGTGAAGTGTGGCTTCGTTGGAAGAACATTCCAGAAAGTCGCATGTTTGAAATGGCTTGTTTGTATCTACACCAGGGTGGGAGTACGGCGTCCCCATTCCTCCAGATGACAAGCCCAAATCCTGGGTGCCGGCGGAAAAGATGTATCTCGTTCACCGGCGGAAGAGGCTGATCAGGCGTCGTAAGAAGGTTAAGGATGTGCGCGCAACAGCTGATGTGAGTAAAAAGTAGATTGACTTTCGCCCTGTATGCATTCTGAATTGCCAAGAGGTTGTGCAGATATCTGGGCTTCCCCTCCTGTTCTGCTGACGGCCTGGTTCATCAGCAGAAAAAGGACCAAGGGGATCCTGAAGGCTGGGAATATTCCTCCTTGATCGGCTGGAAGTTCCACAGTAAAGCGCGCCCCTCAGACACATTCCGACGCAGGCGTTGGAGGAGGCGGATGGCTCCTGCAGACCGCATGGGATCGGCTGCCATCTTCAAACTAGAGGGGGCGCTGGTGAGAAGTTCGAATCGTGTTTGCGGCTTAAGTTGTTCATGTATTTGTTTTTTGTTTTAGCTGAAATGATACAGGGGTTTTGTTCAACGCCAGATATTATTCAGGGGGGGGGGGGCAAAAGGAAAAAAATTCAAATGCACCTTGGGAATTGAGTTTACATTTTCAGGAGAAAATGGTTTGTGTTTGATGGATTGATTCCACATTGAACATGTACTTCCAGTGGAAATTTGAAAATCAGGAGATGAGCTACTGCTTTTCAACAAAGATCTTTCACGCCAGTTTCCATATGAAGTGCTTTAAAGTAATGATGGCCAAATGAAGCTCCAGGAACCATTTTCTGTATTATTTTTTTACCCCCACTAGATGGCATTCTTGGTTTGCTTTGGGGCATCAATTGAACCTTTTGTTGAATAGAGAGCACCATCTAGTGGCTTCAGAAAATACAGCAATTGGTTCATGAAGCTTCCTTTGGCCATGGCTACTTTTAAGGCCTGAACTTGACTGTAGCCTTAAAGTTTATACATACATTTACATTTTTTTTTTTTGGTTTTAGGGGATTGATGAAGAGGCCAAAGAAGCCAAAACGGATGCATCAACCATGTTTGGAGCCAACACTCCCACTGTTTCCTGCATTTTTGGGAGTGAGTACCTAAACCCCAGTGTCCTGCTGCCCCTGTGCTAGTGGGCATATTCCACCCCAGATCCGTTATTCAAGAAGTGCTTTCAGAGTTGATTGACCACAAGAACTTCCTAACATTTTTTCATAATCGTTGTACTTTTTCTTGTAGAGCCTTACATATACCATCTCAGGGTCTATGTTTATCAGGCTCGAAACCTCATGGCCATGGACAAAGACAGCTTCTCTGGTAAGTAAATAAGCATGTGTTAAATTGCACTGAACAGAGTGTAAACTCTTTGTGGAGAATAAGGAAAATTGCCTTAACGTGGATCTTAAGGCAGTTAATTTACACTTCCTAACAGCTTTCATTGCTCTCTTGTCAGATCCTTATTGCCACGTGTCCTTCCTACACAAGAGCAAGACTACAGAGATCATCAAAGCCACCTTGAACCCAACGTGGGACCAGACTCTGATCTTCGATAACATCGAGATCTATGGAGAACCTCGAACGATTGCTCAAAACCCACCCAGCATTGTTCTTGAATTCTTCGACAGTGACCAAGTGGTACGTCTCCATCATATTTTTATTTTATTTTTTTTTACACCAGGATTAGCAAGATGTTTACCCAGAGAAAATGACATTTGTTGTTCAGTAGTGTTTAAGCTTTCATTTTGAGCTGAATTGAGTCAAAAGTGGTGATGCTGATGTAAGACCAAGCAGCACCTGACTTTAAGAGGTTGTCACTTCCCACATTTGATGAGAAGACGTGCTTCGTGCTGTGCGTTAGGGTAAAGATGAGCCTCTTGGTCGGAGCGCGTGCCAGCCCATGGTGAAGCTGAATCCGGAGATGGAGGTGTCTCCCAGGCTCCTGTGGTACCCCATCACCCAGAAGGGCAAGAATGCTGGGGAGGTGCTGCTGGCTGCAGAGCTCATCCTGAAAGACAAGGTATATCTGAGCTCCTGTATCTGTAGATACTTCTGGCCAGTTCTCTGTAGGCTGACAAACTCCTTCACCTTCTTTTCACCTGGTCCCAGGGAAAGGAGACAGACATGCCCATCTATCCACCAAAACGAGGTGACAAGCTGTTCATGGTACCACAGGGGATTCGCCCTGTAGTGCAGCTCACCGCCATCGAGGTAACTGATCGCTGTAGCTGGATGTCCAATTAGCTGTGGCTCGTGCTTTAGGGCAGTGTTTGCAAATCCAGTCCTCAGGGACCCACGGTCGGTCTATGTTTTTGTTCCTACTGCGCTCCCAGCCAGAAAGTCCACATTTTTGCTCCCTCCCAGCTCCTACAAAGCTCGGAAGGAGCAAAAACGTGGACTGTCTGTGGGTCCTTGAGGACCAGATTGGGAAACACTGCTTCAGGGTAATGGACCTTCCTTTCCCTGTGTTTCATGATCCAGATTCTGACCTGGGGTTTGCGCAACATGAAAAGCTTTCAGATGGCCACCATCACCTCTCCCAGCCTTGTGATAGAGTGTGGAGGGGAAATTGTTCAGTCGGCGGTCATCAGGAACTTGAAAAGGAGTCCAAACTTCCCAGGATCAGTGCTCTTCTTGAAAGTGGTAAGACTTTAAACTAATTTGTAACTTTTGATGGAGATGTCTGCTGCAGTTGTCAGAGAATGCACTCAGGTATCCTTTCAAGATCTCCTCTAAGCTCCATAGTCCTCAGATCTCCTCTGGGGTATTCCACATATTTCCGTTCCGCTACGAGTGTGCACACAGTTTCAGTAATTACTGACTGGAGACTCTTATTAGTTTCATTAAGTGCACTGGTGGTGGAACGTAGCCAGTGTGTTGGATGGCTAGGGATTCCCAGGGAGGAATCTGAGAAGCACTGGACTGGAATATTTCCCTCTATAGCTATAAATTCTACATTATATGCTACACGATGTGTAAAGCGCCTATATTGTTTGTGTTTGAAAGTATTTCTAATTATTCAGGAAGAGATTATCTAGGAGAGAGAGATGCATGTATTGTGCTGTTTTCCACTCCGGTCCTCGGGGACTCAGTCGGTCCATGTTTTTGCTCCCGCTGAGCCCCCTGCCATACAGTCCACAATTTTGCTCCCTCCTAGCTCCCAATACTGTCTGCCAGTCCCCGAGGACCGGATTGGGAAACACTGATGTATTGTATCGTAAGTCAAGGCACAAACTCTGTGACACTCTACAGCTCCTACCCAAAGAGGAAATGTACATGCCTCCCATCATGCTGAAAGTGATTGACCACAGGCCTTTCGGAAGGAAACCCATCGTGGGACAGTGCACCATTGATGACTTGGAGGAATTCCGTTGCGACCCCTACACAACCAAAGCAGAAGTGGCCATGTCCTCTAAAGGTATCAATTACAATCATAGTTTCATAATACTGCCACCTGCTGGTAAAAACTGTTATAAACCCCATTGAACTGAAATGATGAAATTTTGTTTTGGGTTAAAAGTTTGCTCTAAAGGTGAGTGATATAGTCAATGTTCATAAATTAAATTCTTTGAAAAGTCTTTTAAAAGGTCTGCATGTTTTTGAATGAAAAGTCGTATTTCCTCTTCCTGGTAAGGAGAAATTTTAGAAGTACAAACACAAAAGGTTTTATCCAGGGGAGTCACCATGCAGTGCCTAATTTGTAAATTAGAAGGTGCCAGAATGTGAGGATATATGAGAGCGGAGGGCGCAGGTCCCGGAACGGATACAAAATATGGTGCTGAAATTATGCTATGTATTAAAAAATAAATAAAAATAAATAAATAAAAAAATTAAAAAAAATCTAAACTAACAAAGGATGTAAAATTGTGTGAAAATTGGTCTGTGTGGGATACAGAGTTTATCTATCTATTCATCCATCCATCCAAAACTCGCTCCCTCCCTGTTGGATTGACCCATCTGCCCTTTGACCTCTTCTCTATGCCAGTGGCTCTGATGGCAGCTGCCCCTCGCTACACAGTCATCGATATGGAGGACAGGAGGCCACTTCTTCAAACTCAGGTACAGTACTGTGCACAGGAAGGTGCCCTAACACATTCACTAATGCACGCCATTCACGCTCTCATACTGTATGTCAAATCCATTGACGTTATACAATGCGGAAACCCTGCGTGATCTAATTGGTATTGAATGATACGTTTTTTTAATGAAATCTGCATTGAACCACGGCTTGGATACCAGCAGAGTCATTGTTCATAGGAGCCTTTCACAGTGACTGTTCTGAATTGCAGTTAGCGTACAGTATGTCAGCGGCCGTCGGAAAAATGACCCACCGTTCTGCACATCTTGTATGTATTGTACTGGAAGCGGGCTTGGTGTTTTTCTTCTGATCAAGCTCTTCTCTCTCCCCTTTATTTCTTCTTAAGATGGATGTTGGGCTTAAAGGTGTTAAAATTGTAAGTATGATGTTCAAAGTCAAAGCCTGGACCATTAATTTCCATTAAATTGATGGAAGATGGCATGATATTGGGGTTTCAAATGGAATTCTGACATCTAATTTGGACACTGATGGAAGGAAGACATTCCAAATGATAATTGCACAATTACTGTAAATTCAGTCCATCTTCAGGTGCACAAGTAAAGAGCAAAATTTGACGGATAGAGAAATTAGTATTGAGCAGTGATTTGGCTGTATCTCCTGGAGTTGAAGGTGCTGCAGGATCATTTGTTCTCTTATTTAATGGTCTTATGCTGCACATGAATCAGCACAGGCTTTTTGAATCCCTGTACGTAAAACTATTCATAAAAAAATACAAGTTGACTTGGACCTCATACAAAACTTTGATCATTTTTTCCTTTATTACTTCCTAAAAAACATGCCCAGTAGTAGTGACTTGTAATATAGAACATCAATTAATAATTATTAATAATTGTAAATCATACTACTTTAATAATGCTATACAAATCAGCAACAATGTATTCTGTATGTTCTGTATTATTGAGCACTGCTCTGGGTATTGAATTAGTTTGGCACAAGGATTCAAACAATTACATACCTCCTGAACCAAATACAGAGCCATAAGGAATCTGCCTGCAAGTAATTTGGTATCGGAATAACCTGCGGATTCTGTTCAGTTGACTGTGCATAATATTCTAAATAGGGAGAGAGCAAGACAAAAGGACGCCCTGTATTGTTGGCATTGTCCCACGTTCTTTATTCTCCCACCCGGTAACATGGGTACATCACAAAGGTTCCTATCTGACATCTCATCTAATACTACACATTCCATTTGAACCTTAAACTTCTGGACTCCTTCTAGAATATGCTCCACAATTAGATGTTGTTGAATGTCTGGTGTTTAAATTAAGCAGAAAGGGTATTAAAGCTTACTGAAATTCTATTTGTGTCGAAAATGACAGTAGAAGGTATGTAATCAAGATATTGATTTTACTGTACCTGACAATTTTGTTTCTGATTTTCTGCTGTTAAGATTCTGTACAAGTGCAATCTGGATGTAAAATGTCCATTTTCTCTGTATTGGATCATAAAATCGATCTGTTTTTGAAAAAATGAATTTTGATTTTCTAGGCTTAATTCCTTGGCCTGTAACCTTGGTATTCCTTGGCCTGTAACCAATTCCTTGGTTTTATCTGTTTTCTTGTCTGTGTTGCCCCCCTCCCCAATTGTGGAATTTCACCCTTAATAGCAACAAGAAAAGGTAAGGCTTTTCTGTTATATGGTTTCCAGTTGCACATAAAATTGATTCTCTCGTTACATCTATTGTGTTAGTGAATATTGTTTGAGTTTCAAGACTACGTAAATCATGTTGAATGGGTGTATGTATGCTTAGGTTGAAATCTCAATGGAATATTTGCAACGGAATTCCTCCATTTGTAACGTTCTGTAAAATGGATCCAAGTACTATTTATTGACTGGGTGACAGGGAAATGCAATGACCGATGTCTGATATTGGACCTGACCCGTATAAGTTTGTTTTAATTGTAGGAGAAAGATTCAATAGACTGGTGGAGTAAGTTCTATGCTTCTGTTGGAGACCATGAGAAGTGTGCCCCTTATCTCAAGAAAGGCTATGATTCCCTCAAGGTAAGCTTCCATGGCATCGGCAGTATTAATCTCAGCATACAGGTGGTACTAATAGATAGCGCCATCTAGTGGGGTCAGAAAATACAGCAAGTGGTTCATGAAGCTTCATTTGGCCATTACTACTAACAGGAGCAAATATACCATAAACATTGACATTTAAGAGAGTTGCTGAGTCTTCACTATGTGAATACCCACGGCAGTGGGTTTTAAGAGACCAAGCCTTTACACATCATTGTTTAAAAAATCAATGACAGAAATACTCAGTGTAGCAAGCAATCCGTTTGATATTAACTTTTGAACGGTTTTATTGCATCAGTGGAAATAGGGATGTTATAAAAACTGGGAATATTTGGGAAGCATGCATTCGCACGACGTTTTAATTCAAACAAACAAAGAAATTGTTGTACACGTTTGGCCTTGTATGCTCCACTTCACTTTTCTTATCAATACCATGATGTTGTTTCCTTTACAGAAAAGCGACGTGTTGTATTTTGCATCTTGCATTTCCGCTTATTTTTGGCTTATTTTCAGCAGCAAGATGTAAATCTCTTGTTCTTGGTTTTTTTAAATGTTCTTAGTCGAGAACACTTCAGAAAATCTGTAACACATTTAGGTGTTAATGTGATATCTAATATACCTTGAACGTTTTTGTTTTCAGATCTATGAGTGCGAACTTGAAAATGTGCCTGAGTTCAAAGCCCTGACTGACTTCTGTAACACCTTCAAACTCCATCGGGGTAAATTTGATGAAGACGAAGAAGATGTTGCAGTGGTTGGAGAATTCAAGGTGTGGTCATTGCTTATTCAGATATTCTACTTAGGAGGAGGTGGATACATTGATGAAACCTTTTGAGAATGTGAGCTTATTTATACATCAAACACAGGATTGCAGTTTATTAGAAATAATTGTAAATGATATTACTCTGATAATGCTATACAAATCAGCAACAATGTATTCTGTATGTTCTGTGTTACTGAACACTACTCTGGGTATTGAATTAGTTTGGTACAAGGATTCATACAATTACATACCTCTTGAACCAAATCCAGAACCATAAGGAACCTTTTGAGAATGCTGGCTTGTTCATTCATCAAACACAGGTTTCACCGTTAAAATTCATCCAGTAAACACACAATTTCCAAATAACTTAGGGATCTGACACTTTGTGGGTCTCACTTTCTTGAACTGGTCGTGATTTCTACCCAGGGTTCATTCAGAATCTACCCGCTACCGGATGATCCCGCCATTCCGCCACCCCCCCGACAGTTCAGGGAGTTGCCCGACAGCGGACCTCAGGAGTGCCTGGTCAGGATTTACGTCGTCCGAGGAATCGACCTGCAGCCCAAGGACAACAATGGCCTGGTGATTGTCCACCGGTCTGCCGGAAATCGCGCCCGTAATTTTATCGTTAGCTTGTATATGCTAAAGCTAATAGCCTGAGATGCTAAAGCTAATATCTCTTTACAGTGTGATCCTTACATTAAAATCTCCCTGGGAAGGAAGGTCATTGAAGACCGGGAGCACTACCGGCCAAACACTCTTAACCCTGTGTTTGGAAGGTAATATTTGATGTTGTATTGGGTGCAATACAAGCAAACTGTAAGAAGCATACAACTGTATTTTTTTTTGTAATGTCTTCTAAAAGCGCCACCAAGGCAAATTCCTTGTATGGAAACATACTTGGCTAATAAAGTATTCTGATTTGAAAATTTCCCTTTCATGATCTTTTATCTCTGTAGGATGTTTGAACTTTCCTGCTTCCTCCCTCAAGACAAGGACCTGAAAATTTCCATCTATGATTATGATCTGCTGAGCCGTGATGAAAAAGTTGGGGAGACAATGATTGATCTGGAGAACAGATTACTCTCCCGATTCGGTTCATATTGTGGATTGCCACAGACATATTGTGTGTAAGTATGTTTTTAAGTCTTTTTTTTTTTTTTTTTTTCTTTCTAAAATGGGTATATGTCATTGGTTATGTAGACTATAGCTGTGTTCCAATTCAGCGGCTGCAGCCTTCACAGAGCCTATCTAATCTATGTAG